CCCGAGTAGCTGGGACTATAGGCGCCCGCCACAACGCCCGGTTATTTTTTGGTTGCAGTTTGGCCAGGGCCGGGTTCGAACCTGCCACCCTCGGTACATGGGGCTGGCGCCCTACCCACTGAGCCACAGGTGCCACCCATCTATTGCATTATTTAATTTAGTCCTTAGGTCAACCCATTCCCTGAGTCAACAAATATTGTTTGAGCACCTACTATGTGCCAGGCACAGGACCACATGTCCACTGGTAGATAAAGCAAACACCACCCCTGCCCTCACAGAATTTAGGATCTAGTGGAGGTTACTATTCCCATTTACAAAAGCTCAGAGAGATTAATCTGCCCAAGGTCACACAGCTGGAGAAGTGTCTGAGTCAATGTCCGGATGCCTCAGGTCACCTGAGCATGCCAGCTAGGAGAGGAAACAGCAGGGCTGGGGTAGGGGCAACCCAGCCAGACCAGGGGCCCAGGTCTGCAGGGAGTCTGAGAGCCATCCAGTGAACTTAGCCTGGGCCAGACCTGCATTTCAGGGAACTTGGGCTCAATCAGAGGCCCTTAAGAGAGCAATAGAATCCCTATTACTGAGAGACAGATTTTAGGGCTGGGGTTGATATTTTGGGGAATGGACAAGGGCCAGGGAATAACTTGAATGCCTCTTCTTAATAATGATGCTGATGATGGTGACCCCCAAGCCTCTACGACACACAGGGCTCTGCTAACTGCCTCCCAGATGCCATCCTATTTGACCCTCATAGCAGCCCCTTACTAGTCCATTCTACACGTGAGAATACTGAGACAGTGAGGGGTACCAACACCCTGCCTGAGACTACAGTCAGGAAAGTGGTGAAGCCATTGGCCTGGGCCCATCAGATTCTAGAGCTCAGGGTACAGCCACTGCCCCCTCACCTAAGCCCATAGGTGGGGGCTCCAAGCCCAGCTTTGGGGAACTGGGGGATGGTACAGGCCTGAGTTATACCAGGAGCAGTCCTGATGCTTCCCACATCCTGGGGCCCAGCGCTCCTTCCCTGGGTTCCAGGGGTCTCCTCTGCTCAACTTTTAGTTGTATCACCTGGACTCTTCCCCACCCCCCAACTCCTAGAATCAGGAGACAGGAGATCAGCACGTCTTACCCTCTCTCACCTTGCAGATTAGGAAACTGAGGCATAGAAAGAAGGTGTTAGTTACCTAAAATCACCCTGCAAATTAGTGACAGAGCTGAGATTTGATTACAGGTCTCTGAGTTTGTCTCATACCCTCCTCCCACTCTAGGCTCAGAGCAGGAACTATGCTCTCCAGTACCCTCAATACACACACACACACACATAGACACACACACACACACACACACACACACACGGTCTTTCCTCATGTTTCCTGTCTCTATTTGAAGGTACTGATCTGAGTTCCCATTCCCAGGTCACATGTCCATTCGCACCTGCCCATTAAAAGGGGATGGGCAGTAAATGGCACCAAGTAGCTAAAATCAGGGAGAGCCTCAGGCCAAGCCAAGACCCTAGGAAGGGATGGGATGGGGGCCAGCTGGCAGGTGTGTGCCCTTCTTAGGCGGGGTGACTCCAGCTGACCACAGCCAAGTGGTCCAGAAGCTTATCTAGAGAAACCAGAAATTTTGGTAATAGGTTTACACAGTTTTCTCCCTGCATCAGCAAATAGTATACTTGGTTTCAAAGGCACAGATATGGCAGTACGGGTTATTTGAGACAGCTTCCCTCCGTCCCTCAGGGACTCACTGCCTGGCAGGCCCCAAAGTAGGAAAACTGAGGACATTTTCCAAGAAACCCAGGGAACACAGATCGTATCCACTGGCCTCTTCCCATAAACCCCAGTGGTTCTCAAGCTTTAGCATCACCAGGGGAGCTTTGCCAATCCTGCCGCCCAGGCTGCGCCTTGGCCAATTAAATCCGAACTCAGCGGTGGGAGCCTTTTTAACAAAGCTCCCCAGGGACTCCCAAAGTGCACCTGTAGCGTCAGCATCAACAGGTAGCTTATTAGAAATGCAAATTCTCAAACCCCACCCCAGACCAGCTGAATCAGGATCTCCCAAGGGTGGGGTCCGGCAAACTGTAGTGTGACAACTCCCCCAGGAGATTCTGATTCTGAAAAAGTTTGAGGGGCACCCTCTCAGACTGGCATGAGGAGGCACAGGGGGCAGGGTACCTGCCAAGAGCTCAGCACGTCTGAAAATAACCAGCTTAATAAAAGACATTCAATTTAAAAATAATTTGGGGAGGGGCACCCTTACACTAATTAATTAATTACCAAGGGCCAGAGAACTCTTCAATTTGGGCTATTCTTCCTTATTCAATTGGAAATATTCCCTGTTCTAACTTTGGAATTGTGAAACAGCCTTTCCTTCACAGTCTGGAGTGAGAAGCCCCTGCCACTCCTCCAAGACCCCAACCCAATGCTGGCACACAGTAGGTGCTCACTAAATGTCACTTTCTTTCCTTTCCATTCCCCCTTGGAATTTCTAGAGCAGTGGCTCACAGACATCCTACTGCTGTTTTGATTTATACTAATGTGAGCCTCAGTGCCTGAGTGCACGGTGTGGGGGTGGCCAGGTGGCCAGCTGGCTGGGGATTAGGAAATACTGGGTCTTGTCCAGCTGGAACTGGTTGTCCTTAAGTTAAACCCTTTGCCAATGTGGAGGGATATAAAGGGAAATAAATGAAGCAGGAAGGAAATCACGTTGATGATTTTATGACATCTCCACAAAATAGCCAATCCTATTTCCTTGATTCTACAACACATCGTTGATTTCCCAAGAGATTTTTTTCTTAGGAAAAACATGCAGGCACAATATGCGTCTACATCAACGACAAAATGCATTCATGTTTTAGAAATTTGAAAAAATGTATCTCTCAGAGGCAAAGAAATAGGATTTTCCTATAAGCGATGATTGGAAGGAAGCATGTGCAAATTCAATATAATGATGGGGGGTTGGATTATCTTTTGGTCTCTGGGGGTTCTTGTTATGTGTATTAACATAGAGTTTGTGCAATGATTAAGAAAGAAATTCCATTAGCCACAAGAGCCAGAAAGTCTCCTGGGGAAGGATATCACAAGACTCGGCCTTTAGGAAATCTGCTATAAAGAGGTCCTAGATTTTGGAGCTTGAATTTAGTCCCTGAGCAGCCTTGCGGAGGTCACTTGCGGAGCCTGTTCCTTCACTTGCGAAATGGAAATCATGTTCCTCCCTACCTGGCTCGGCTCCTGTACAGTTAAAGAATCAAATACAGGGATTATTGAAGGAAGAGCAGGTGGAAACTAATCAGCTTAGCCCGAGGAGGGGGTGTTTCTGGGACTCCACCCTGTCCCAGAATCCCAAGCTCACAGCCTTGTAGCAGATCCTCTCTCTGCAAACGCAGGGCACAGCTGATACCCTCAGTTGCTAGAGAGACCTCCACCTTATTTGCTGGGAAAAACTCAATACCTTAGACTGTCGGCAAATCTCAAATTCACTGGTGCCTGGGTGTGCCTTGTGGAGGGCAGGCCCAGTCATTCACAGGAAATGCAGATGCCTGGTCCACTGGATGACCAAAGGGCCCAAGGCTCTCACCACTATGGTCTACCTCTTTGGAGGAAATTATTCCCCCAGAAAGGTCCTGAGAAAAATGCAAAGGCATTGTATTAGCAAGATCAATGTTGAAGTCTGGAACAGAGACTGCAGCCCACAGATGGACTTCTTTTGGCCTTCATGAGATTTTTTTTTTTCTTAATGTTTGAATTTCTCACAAAGCCATAATCCTTTTCATTCCTGTGGCTGCTGCTCCGGCTGTGGAAGGACCGGACGTGGCAGTTCCAACTAGGGCTGCCCGGGGCCCCAGAGCACTGAGAGAACTTCCAGAATGCCAGATAGCAAGAGCGCCTCGGGCTGCCTCAGCCTCCGGCTTCCTGCTGCGGCCTGTGCGGGGAAACTGAAGGAACAGAGAGGGCTTCCCAGCCAGGTCATAAAGGAGATGACGTTTTACAACCCCACAATAAAGAAGATTTCCACCCAATGGAGGGGGATAACCAGTTTGTGCCTTCATCCAGGCACTCAGCAGGGTTCCCTGGGTACCTCCTCTGTGTCTGGTCTGTGGTCCAGTTATCACGTTTGATTCCCCCAACAGTCTGTGGAAGAGGTATTATTGTCCCATTTACAGATGACTAAACTGAAGCTTGAAGAGGCCAGGTGGTATAGGTGTCCCTCCTCTTCAGACAACCTATACCCCATTTGTTCTCCTCTGCTTCCCAAGCAGGCCAGGCCAGGCAGGAGGTTGCCAGGTCTATGTGGGGGGTTACCCACCCAATGCCCTCTGTTCCTTCGGTTGTTCTGGACACTTTGGCTGGGGTCAGAGTCTCCAGGGGCCCCCTTGGCTTAGGCTGTCTGCCCAGGCAGCCTCACCCAGCCTGCAAGAGGTGGGGCTGAGGAAACTTATTGACTGGCCTGGGTGTGCCCCGGTCGGAAGAAGATAGACCCAACAGGGGCACACCCAGGTGGACCAGCTGACCTCTGCCTCATCCTCCAGACCCAGAGGCAGTAAATACATGTGCTTTTTTTTTTTTTTTAGGAGTTGAAGTTTATTCTTAGACAAAATAAAGTCCTACCCTCCCTTCATAGTCCAAGAAGATTTTCCCAGGGGGCTCTGCCCCTCCAAATGGTGCGCTCTCTTCTGACCCCAGCTTTCACTAATGCCCATTAAGATGCTGCTACTTATGGGGGGCGGAGGCAGGAGACTCACTTGAGCCCAGGAGTTGGAGGTTGCTGTGAGCTGTGATGCCACAGCACTCTACCCAGGGGGACAGCTTGAGGCTCTGTCAAAAAAAAAAAAAAAGATGCTACTACTTGGGTGAGGGGCTCCTCCAGATACTACACCAAGGCCTGGGCCTTGGCCTTGAGCATTCCAAAGCCCACGGTCTCCTTGGCACACATACACAGCAGAAGGTTGGCCACTTGGGTGATGGCTACGTGGCTCTCCACGCTGTCCATGAGGATGAATTTGAGCTTGTCTTCATTAAACACGTGGTTCCCGTTCCTGTCGTAGGTAGCCCAGATGTTACTGGCGGTGGCTGCGGTGACCTGGGCATCGGTGTCCCCATAACCTGAGTAGGCCAGCAGCAATCCCTCATTATTCAGCAGCAGGGTGCTTCGGACGCCTCCATTGTTAGCTTGGCTTAGCACCGGGGTCAAAGCCTTGGGACGAAGCATGCCTGTGACTTTTAACCCTGATCTTCCGAGTTGCCTCCTGCGGCCTCTGTCAGTTGCTGCTCCCAGTAGTCCAGCCACCCAGCTTCGGACCGCCTTGGGAGTCGAGGTCCGGCTGCTGTGGTTCTGACTCCCACACATGCTTTCTTAAGGGGTTCTCAAGAAACATTCAGATTTACCGGGACTCTTATGCTTATAAAAAGTTTATTTTACAGTGTGGAAACTTTGGGAAATACAGCAAAGCTGTATAAAACTCACCCACAAAGGCACCAGCTAGAGATGACCATTGTTGGGATTTGAGAGTATATTTCCTCTTCAAACCAAAGTTAAACGTGAACTACCACTAGGTCGTTACCCTTCCCTGGGGCAGGAGTCACAGTTATTTAGCACTTTGGCTTTTACTAATTCCATCATTTTTTTACTTGTTTGGAGGGACTTTTTAAAAAATGTTTTCAAGTATGTACCACAGACTTCAGGAAATACTTGTTTGATGAGAGGATCGGCAGGGCCCGGTAATGGTCAGGGCCGGAATGCTGGCTGGGTTTAGGCGCACCCATCGCCATTCACCATCTAACTATCTCTGGCGCCGCTGGCATGAGCTCAGCCCTCATCTGACATCACTGGTGTTTGTCCATCTTTAATAAGGAAGATGCAGGTGGAAGGGATGAGCCCGGATCCTGATGCTGCCTGTGGTGTCTGGTGCCCGGAAAGGTCCCAGGCTCAGAGTTAATTTTCAGGCAGAGAAGAACATGGGGACTGAAAGGGCAGGGCTCCTCCCCCTTGAGCCTTCTGAGAGGTTGTTAAGAAAGAAAGAAGAGGAGGAACCAGGTTCAGAGACAGCAGGAAGGTGGACAGCAGACACAGGAAGGCTACTGGTTATAATCAAGAGAAGCCGTGCATTGTTGCCAACCAGGTCACTGAGTTTCTCTTGCTGGAGACTTCCAAGAAAGGGGTTGGAGGAGCATCTCTGTAGACTGGGTCTGGGACCACCTATCCCTGGGCAGGGGGAAAACCAGGGCCTATTTCCAGGAGCCTGTTGAGTGAGTGATGGGGCCCAGGCAGCCTGCAGGACAGAGCAGAGTGTGGTCACCCAGCCAAACCCTGGGAGAGGACGGCAGAGACCGTGTCCAGGGCACAAGTTTTCATTACTAGGCCCGGCAGGCTTTCTGAGCCTCTGTAGGCAGCCTGTGCAGGGAGGGGCCGGCTTTGTGATTCTTGGTTGGCCCAATCCTCTTTTAGATCTGGGAGCTGGTGGGAGGCTCTGGGCAGAGCTGGCCCACTCTACAAAGGTATTATGCTTTAGGATTCTTCCTGGAAAACCAGCGGGAGGAGGAAGCTGACGGTGCCAGGCTACGGGCCCAGCTGGATGAGGTGGAGGCTGCTGTTTCAATCTACTCTCTTGCCACGTCCAAGCGGGGTGACCACAGGCAAGCAGGAAATTTCATTTCTCTGGAGTTTCAGTGTCTTCCACTATGAAATGAAGATTTTACACACGCACATGATTTCTTCTCTCCCCTCCCCCCACTCCAGGACTGCTGAGAGAATTATGCAAGATGAAATAGGCAAAAGGGCCCGACATATCTAGGTGCTCAATAAACGTCTTTCTCCCCTGAGCGGTGTGCTCAGAACTGATTGTACACCCCAGCTGCCTGGGGGATTCGTTTAAACCACCAGCTCCTTCCCACCCCCTGCCAGGCAGGTCTGCTTTTCCATAAGACCCAGGCTCAGGGGATTCTGAGGCAACAGGACTCCAATACAGCACTAAAGTTGCCACAAGCCTGCTGCCAGATGGGGTCCTGAGCTGTCTGTCCCCACACTCACGGCCTCAGCCACTGGCCCCAGCCTGCAGCCCCTCCCGCTGCAGGCGCAGTAGGCCATGTTGTGAGCTGCTGGTTGCTGGGATACAGTGTGGGTTTTGTCTGCCTTCCCCACCCCATGCCAACCCGCCCAGCAGGCCCCACTGCCTTGGCAACGCATTGCAAAGTCCACACAAAGGGAAACTGCGCCAGGGAGGCTGGTCTTGCCCGACGCCTGGGGAAGGGTTTCCATGGCAATGCTGACATCACTGGCTCAGTAGGCTGCAGAGTCAGGCCCTGAATGGAGGAGCCTAGGTGTTCCTGCCATGTCGACGTGGAGGAGGGCGACATAGGGTTCTGCAACAATGCCACTAGGGCTGGGGGTTGTGGGTAGTGAGGAGGCCGCCCATAGGTTCGAAATCCACACTGCCCTTGACTTGCTAGGTGACTCTGAGCAAGGCACAGAGCCTGAGACCCAGTCTCCTCACCTATACAACAGAACTAAAAATCTCTACCTTGCAGTGAGGATTAGACGAAGTCATGGTTAATGCACAGGTATGGGGCAAACTGTAGAGACCTAATCCGGTGGGACAACTTCAGGTGGTTTCCAGGGAAAGATGGGGAGCAGCCTGAGCACACACCCCTGTTACCGGGCCCCTCGATGTGGGATCTACAGGGGGGAGCCTGGGATTTGTGAAGGAGAAGGCAGTTACCTCTCAAACCTCTGCCCCAACCAGTCTGCATCTCCTCGGTGGGGATGAAGGTGGCGGTATTTGGTGAGGAAAGTTATGGGATGGGGAGACTTTTAGGGGCCAGATGGTGGCTCTGGGGCTTTCTGGATTCAGAGGCCCAGGGAGCAAGTGTGATAGGCCCCAGTTCATACCTTGTACCATGATCGAGTCAGGATGTAGACAAGGGTTCCCGGGCCTGGGTGGGCCCTAGGGGTGGAGCCACCTCTGTTTTTTCTGCACAGTAGCAGTGACACTGACTCCTTTGCAGGAAATAAACAGTCAGAAGCACAAGGCAAGAGAGGGTGGGACCTGCTGGGATCAGTGAAGCTGTAGGCTGGAGTCCACCCACAGCATGCTGTGCAGAGGGAAGCCGGGCAGCAGGGAGCTGGGAAGGGCCACATGGCTTCCTCTTTGCTGCCCTCCCCTGGGAGGCCCTCTGCAGGAATAGGGCAGTATTCAGTCAAACCCTTTCCGGAGCTCTGCCTAAGGGTCCCACTCCACTCAGCACATATGATGAGAGTCTCCCCAGGCATCAGACACACAGTGGGGGACAATTCTAGGAGAAGGCCTTGGGCACCCAAAGAGCTCTCTGCCTGGCCAGCTCACCCCCACCACCCAGTTCTCCCCACACACACACAGCCTGTCCCTTTCAGGGTGGGACCTGCCCTAGGCTCTCCATCTCCGAGGGAATTGCTGGAGTCTGTCCACCCAGTGTCTCGGTCATATAACATCTTCATGTACCCCAAAGACAGACTTTGCTCACCTTCACCCAGATGTCTGCACCCAGCCCTCCCCTGGCCCACAGGGCCTCTCTGGGTTCTCAGCTCCCTTTGGGGAGGGCAGACCTCCCACCACACCTGTGGTCACTGGACAATCTCTCTGGAGGCTCCCATGCATTTAAGACAGCCATTCTGACCTCAAATGCTCTCCCTTGCCTTAGGAAGGCCATAGATCTGACTTCTGTTTCCTCCTCCCCTGCCCAGGGAAGATTGCCCTCCTTCACCTCCAGGGCCAGGAAAGACACCTGCTGCTTGGGCAGGGAGGGCACAGGCTGCCCCCAAAGCTGCGGTTATGTCCCAAGGAATAGAAAGGGGCCATGGGGTCTCTTCACTAGGCAGGAGGATGGGGAGACTTGCCGGCACACATTCTGTGCCTGCTGCTGGCTTAGTCCCTGTGGACCCTTTGTCCTTCTTGGCCATGAACTGACTCCTGCTCACCCCGCTGAGGCCTCCTGCTCAGCTGGACTATGACGCACCATGGTTTGGCTCCAAACCAGTTCTGTGAGTATGGCTCCAGTCCAGTGTCTGGCTGGGGGACAGTCACCCATGAGGTGCCCTGGATGAGGCAGGTGTCTAGGGATAGGAACTCTGGAAGGTGGAGGGAGAAGGAACATCCCTTCTGAGGTAGAGGTACAAGAACCCCACCCCCCATCCACCCAGTAGCTGAACTTTGTGCCCACCTGAGACACTCCCAACAGAAGGAGGCTGCATTCACCTCCCAAAGCTGCCTGACCCCGTGAAATGGTGGTGACAGCACTGGGAGACTAGCCACGCCCTTTCCCTTTGCCTCAGAGAGAGGAATTGAGTCAAAGGTTGGAAGCACCTGGCAGGAGGCTCCCTCCCACACACAGGTCACAGGCTTCCCCAGGCTGTACCTCTCTGCCTCCTCCCCACAGCAAGGTGGTCCCAATATCCAAGGCCTAGTGTCCCTCTCACATTTGGGAACAAACCCACCTGCTCTGGCTTTAGCAAGGTACCCCAAACTGGCTAGATGACGGTCATGCTGGGCCAGGTCTTTAGATACCCAATAGGGGCTGGGGGCTCAGCTCTTGACTCCTTGCCCTAAGTGCGCTCAACCCAGCACTGATTTGCATAATGTGGTTTTGCATGAAAAACAAGTCAGCCTGCAGTGTAGGGAGGGCCCCAGCTGTGGCCTGTTGTGGCCTGTCCTTGGCCTGCCGCCCCCTGTGGCCCGGGCCCCCACCTCACACCGACCTCTGCAGATTTCTCAGTAAAGGTCCTAATCCCAAAGTATGGCACCCGAGCGGCCTTGGTGGTGAGGATGCATGCTCCTTCTTGGGGAAGTCCTGGGGTTTCCACTCCCCTGAGGCCGAAATTTTGACACCAGGGAATGGGGAGGCTGGGGGGAGAGGGTGATATCGAGCATTCAATGCATACCAGGACCTGCACAAAATTTCCTTGCTCCCTAAATCTCTATACGTTCACAAGACCTGCCAAGGAAGAGGGTATCATTTTCAGGGTACCCATAAAGACAGTGAGTCACAGCTAGGACCGTGTGGGATCAGGAGTGACCCAGACTTGTCTGACTGGCACCTTTCTTGTATCACTTGTCATCTCTGACTAGGGAGCACTCCCTACTTTGGGCACCACAGGGGTCACACACACTATTTGGGTGGGGGTGGGTGAGGCTGCTTCCTCTCTAAGGTCTCCAAAAGCTGAGAACTCCCTCTGCCCAC